CAAGAAATTCAAAGAAGAAATTTTGAGTGATATAGATGCTTTTCTTACTAATTCAAATCCTATAACAACTTTTATTACCAAAGAAACTATCGACGACAATTTTGGGTCACAAAAAATGGACTTTTCACCAAGCAAAACCGACACAAAGGAAACAAAAGAAGAAAAACCCTTGCTTTCTAAAACGACACCACCAGACGTTAACAATTTGCAAAACTTCATTTTTATACCACAACAACAAAAAGATGAAAAATTAAGACCAAAAAGTAACAGTCTATCTCCATCATTGCCTGTCAAGGCCTATCCCGTCTTACCCAATTTTGCTAATAACAAGAAGCCAATTGACAAGATCTCTCCGCCCCCAGTATTCCCAAGTAAAACAAGAGAAATTAAAAACGGTTTCAATAAAGTGTCATATCCATCACTCTCTCCGCCTTCTCACAACAAACTTGAAATTAGAGAAATTCCAAAAACGACACGTGGCGACGAGAAACAGACTCAAAAAATGTCTATAGAAAATGGCACAAAAGGGTTAAATCTTCTCAACGAAAATTTTGAGCAAAGGAAGTCGCCGAGTATTCAACATCCTCAAAAGTCGATTTTAGACACCACCGATGTCGACTTTCTGGTGATTGAAAATTGTCGAGCAGACTTTTACAAGTGGATTTCATGTGCGAAGTTTGAGGTCTTATATGACAGCGAGAGGCCAATTCCGATTACTAAAAGTTGTTCACAAGACTTTTTCGAGAAGGTCTATAACATTCCAAAATGCGCGTTCTTTGTGTTTTGTGATGAATGCGTGTTTGGGTTTTACAGCGAAAGTCAGACGTTGTATTTGTCGCCACTCGACTTCTTGTTTGGAATCAAAGCGACTGCGAGGAGTGTCAATAAACGGCCAAATCGATTTTTTGTGCCTCAATTTTCTCAAAATGTTTTGTTCACACTTTTTGGGGAGAAGCAAAATCGAAGCGAAAGAGGAAGAGACTTGTTTGCGCTTGAAGTGGGGTATAAAAATGTTTTAAGTGTGAGACAAAAGGAGGACAAGTCATTCCAAAGAGAAATTGGAAAACATTTTGTCGACAGGGCAAAACGAGTGAACCTTGAAAGCTTCTTGCCAAGTACATGGGATTTCGTGGTGAGAAGAGTGATATGTATTACATTTAAATAAATCAATTTTTAAAATATTTACTATTTGTATTTTTTATGGTTTTGTTTGTTTATTGTAACACAAGAACAATAGAACTGATCTTACTTGGACAACTAT